TGCTCCATCTTCTCCTCCATCATGTATGGGGGAAAGCCTTCTTTCCTCATATCCCAGCATATCATGTTGAGGTGATGGCCTCCTGCGATAAAACTCCTCCTGGTTTGAATGACGCTGATGCCCAAACTGGCGGTCATCCTGGAAAGGAGAAGATCTTCTCTGGTCTTCAGGGTGCATGTCTTCCCTGACATAGTTCCAGCGTTCTTCAGGAGTCCTCTGGGGTGGTGGTGGTGTCTCCGGTCCATCTGATCTCCGCCCAGTTCTGCAACAACTTTGTAAGGATCAAAGTCAGGTTCGTCCCATGGGAACCTCCTGAGAAAAAAATATTAGACTCATGTCACCTCAAGATGTATCAGCTTCTACATAAAAAAAAAACAAACATCCAAAGCAAAACATAGAAACATTGTTTTGTACTTGAGGATAGAATTAGGATGATCGCATTTTTAAAACAGCAAAGTTTTACCTGTAATGTGGCGATCGAGAACGTGGTCTTGACATTTTGTCAACCTATAAGCAAAGAAGAGCTTTTATATGATCATATCAACTTAATCTTATGACGATGTTAGGAGAAATCATCGTTTTACAAAATATAAACTATACTTAACTAAACTGTAAACAAGGACCAGAGTATGCCAAAAGTCACCTCAATGTACCAATTATTAGATTAAGTTCATTCATATTTTCATGATAGATAACATCTGTTTTAATAAATTAATCTTAACTATTCTTGATGGGTTAGGGTTATACTCAGCAAACACCAGTTGCAACCTAGTTTGGAGACAAACTCTAGTATTCAAAAGAAAAAACCTGCCCAACCACCTGCTACAAGACTGTGGTTATTTTACCGGCATACATGGCTATTCACTTACTCACAATGATCTTAAAATTGACATATAAAAGGGCTGAGGGATTTCTGCTGATTCACATCAAGCAATAAAAGTAAATGATTTTCTGACTGTTTCATCTTTCATTTAGAATCACCTATGTAAGTTTTAATTTATTTGACAATTTTTTAAGGGTTTGTTCTACTGTATAGTGGATCATAATAGTCACCAGATAATTTGTTTGCATATTAAATGTCTTAACTAGGGTTGAACCAGAATATCAGTATAACAATAAAGATTTCAAAACTGTGAATAACTACAAAATTGTATTTGACCACATTATTACACAATATTTCAGAGAAATGTCTTCTGTTTCTTTTAATTTTGGTTCATAATAATTGATAACTGTAATAATAATTGTTCACTGAATAATGGGACATTTAAAAAAAACTTTTGCAGAACTAGGCCTGCACAATATGAGAAAAATCTGCGATGCGCGATAACATCATTCAATATTGTGGGAATGATCTGAATTGCAACATACAGAAAAAAATACAGTGCATATTAGCTATAACTCACAGTATGCTTCATGCTTGTGTCCCAGGCGAAAACTACGTCTCTATAATTATTTTTTAGTTAGTTTTGTAAACACAATACAGTTTAGTTAGTTATCGTTGTTTGATAAAGCCTTGTTTTTATCTTAGTTTCAGTTAACAAATTTTTTTTTTTTTTTTGTAACTCAAATTTTTAATTTATTTATTTTATTCAACAAACAAAACAGACAGCATTGTTGTTGTACAATAGTACGCCCAAAGTCCCATAACAACGGAGTACGTAATTGGAACCAAAATAACAATTCCGTAACCACAGTATACACAGTGCCACATCTTTATTTTTACAATGCACCAATGGTACTACATGTACAAGCAAAAAAGTGGCCCCATAACCTCTGGAAGTTCTCACCTTCATTATTGACACAGTATCTGACATAAGTTCCATCCATTGCTTAAATTGTGGGGGGGGGGGGGACGTACTTTTCCATAATCTAAGGATCAATCGTGCGGCCGTTACGACCCCAACGTTTATCACAACAAGGTCATATTTCGATACTTTGGTCAATTCAGTTTGATCCCCTAACAGGCAAATCCTTGGTGATTTAGGTATCGTCATACCCAACCCCTTCCCTATGTGTTCCATGACTTGGTCCCAAAATGGGTTTACAAGTGTGTGTGAAAAATGTTCCTGGTTCTATCTGACACTTCCAACATAAATTATTGGCCAGTATGCCCATCCTATGGAGTTTAGAAGGAGTAACAAATTTTTTTTACATTATTTTTCATTCACAATATTAACCTTGTCTCTGTGGTTGAGTACTTCATGGACCTGGTCTTTTAGTTTAGTATCTTGAGATAACATTTGTTGTGAATTGGCATTATGTTTAATTAATTAATTGCAGCAAAAAAAAAAACTATGAATGGTAGTCATTTTGAATCAGGGTTGTCATAATACCAGAATTTTAAACGTCAATATAATATGATACAAGTAAAAACAAACAATATCAAACGATGTCTACACCTGCATAATGTAATGTAGTCAGTGTGAGGGAGTTTGTGAGCATTTTGTGATTGATTTATTCTCCCCTGAGCACCTGTATTATAAAATAGATGCCATTGAAATATATGTAATTATTAAAAAAATCAGTGTACAGATAAACCTCCTGCAGGCTGACACACACCTCATGACCTCATGTTGTGACTTTTGGTCTTTTTTTAGCAGGAAGTTTAGAGAGCACACAAGCGAATAAAAGCCTTTTCTTCAAGTAGTGTAGGGTTACTCTGAATACTCTGACATCGTGTAGTTCGTCAATGACAGTATTGTTTTATATATCATAAAAACCTTATCATATCCACTTAAGGATTAATGCTAAAGCTAACGAGCTAACGTTACGCAGCTTGTCTTACCTTCGGATGAAGCACGCGTCAGGGCACCGCGAGATTAGCTACCGGCCTAAAAACCGAAATATAACCGTTTGTAAATAAGAAATAAATAAGACAACCTCTCTAACATCTAACAGCTAGGTAAATATGTCGTGCTCCGTTTACAATTCTGCAAGAAAATGGCTGTGTTGACTTAAAAATGTGAACGTTTCTAAGACCACTATTAGGCACCGATTCTGAACTTCCGGCCCGTGTTTTCAGAATAAAAGTACTTGTTGTAAAGCCCACAGGTCAACATTAAAAATGTAGTATATTGAGCCAGATTTGATTGTGTAATTGTCCATGCTACAGTAAAAAAAAAAGTTAAAACTCAATGTCAAGTAAGGCCTAAAGAATATAAGGTTGCAGCACTAACATCAGTCCTCAGGATATAACTCACCCACCTCATTAACCATCTTTCTCCCTTATTATAATATTTAAAGATAAAGATAAACTTTATTGATTCGCCATGGGGGAAATTTTTGTATTACAGCAGCTCAAGAAAACAGGAAAAGGGGATAAAATTATTAAAAATAAAAATAATTAATTTTTTAATAAAAAATAAATTGTAAAATGTCTTCATATGTGCTTTTACAGTACTGACCATTGGGCTTTTTCGTTTGGTGTTTTATTACGCACAATTTTCAGCATCGATAAACTAAAAAAATCGAAGTTCTTATAAATATTACAAAGTATTATAGTCGGTATATTGAGTTTAAGCAATGCCGCACATAAGGGGAAAGGGGGGGTGCTCCTCATTAAACATAAAATGATGGTCCAAACTAAACGTAAGCGATTATAACCATATTTTACTTTAAATCTTAAACGTAGAGTCAGTAGTTTTTTGTATTTAAAAATAAAATATAGACTAAAACAAATACTTATGGATACTGCCTGGATATTCACGTTTTGTTTTGTTTTGGTTGACTTGGGACGTTTCTGGGCAGGGAGCTGATGTGTGTCCCCCAGCCAATGACAGCCTGCAGGTGAGTATAGGAGTAGATACAATTCAGGGATTCAAGCTTGCGGATAAAGCTTGTTCTAAAACGAAGGTGAATCTAGTGTTGGCTTTTACCACGGATGCAGAGCTTGCCTGCTTTCTATTGGACGGACTGGTGCCAAACACAGGCAGTTTGCTTGTTCTAGTGTACGTTAGCCTTCAGTGTTGATACAAGCTGTAAACATACACACTACTTCCTGCTGTGAGTTTGCATTTCTGAGTCCAGGAGGAGGGGCCCAGCTTGAATGTTGAGTTTACACCCTGTAATTACACACTGTAATTTTTACAGTCTATGCTTTACACCATGGTTTACGTCAGGGGTGTCCAAAGTGCGGCCCGAGGGCCATTTGCGGCCCTTGAGGGGATTTTTTGCTGCCCTTGACTTCAAATGAAGAATCAGAAGATTTTGGCCCGAGGCCTTGATTAAGATTGGCACATTATCTTATTTTTGTAAACTATGAAACAAGTGGACTGTTGTTTAACCATTTAATGACCTGAGCTAAATGCAGAAAGCTTTTCCAAAAAAATGAACCACGTTACAGGCTTGATTCTGAGAAAAAAACAAATAAAGGAGAACAAAGAAATCAAAATATTTTATTTCTTTTTGTTAAAGGGTTTCTTTAGCGAGCCTTTTGATTCTGATCTACAAAGCCTTACTATTTTTTCAACTATATTTTAAAAAACAAAACTTGTGGCCCGCGAGCGATTCTAACACGACAATTTTGGCCCGCAAGAAAAAAAGTTTGGACACCACTGGTTTACACGCTTCAACAAACAAAGCTGATGACTCTACCTTTAATAGTCACCATTACTTATAAAAGCACACAAAAAAAAAACAATGCTTTGTTGCCAGTTAACAAATGAAACCCCCTCTTCTTAAAACAGTATGAACCTTTTTGAACTAGGGAGCTGGTTGTAAACTTGGCCGCATAACTTAGATTATAACTTGTGAGCACAATGATATTATATTGTGCTTCCATGTTAACACGTTCTGCCAGGATAATAACATCTTTTCACAAGTTAATTATCATGTGCAAACCAGATATTACCAGGTTCCAACAGTATAATTATATTGTGTCCACAAGATAATAACACTTTTTGGGACTTCAGGGGCTGCGTAAAACTTTGACCAGTGAATTCAGTTTAGGGTAAATCCTCTGTACATTATTCTTAAGTTAAAAAAAAAGCCTTCACTCCATATTTTGCAGATCAGTTTTAATGTCAGTGCAGCATAAAGTCAACACACAGTGAGATATTATGATAAATAAAAGTGGCTGCATTGGTTAAGCCCTACACTAGATTTGTCATTTCATATTTCACATTATGAATGTCAAAGGCTAAACATCTTATACATGTTTGACTCTTTAACATTTCCCTTCATTTCAAACTTAAATTTTTACATTTGTTAATTTATCCAGCTTACTGACACAAATGGCTTGATGAAACTTTTATTGTTCTTTTATCAGCAGTTATCCATGCACCACATCTACAATGATATATTCCACCAAGCTGCAGTGTCACAGAGTTAAGTAATATTAGGATAAACATCATGTCCTTTATTTTTACTTCATATACAAGGGGACCCAGGAGACCCTCTTACAAATGAGCTTCAGCAGAATCTGGAGGAATAAAGAGCGTACATGGAGAGAGGGAGGCCAGCAGGAGAAAGAAAACATAAATATACATTCAGTGAGCAGATGTGAAGTATTTTTTTTTTCTCTCAATGTGGCACCTCGACAGAGCAGTGGAGCCCCTTTTCCCACAACAAGGAGATTTTTAAAGAACTTTCTTTGCACCTGGATTAAAATTGGATTTATTTCCAACAATTCTTACCCCAAAAGACTCTCTGGGACTTTCAGCCACGGCAGCATTTTCAAACATTTGGAGGCCTGAAGACAAGAAAGTTTCATGTGTCCACAAGAAAGTAATGTATGTGGCACTCTTTAACATACCGGTAGCTCAGAGATTGCACAAGACCACTTCGTTCAACATATGAAACAGACAGCAGAAACTCTTTGGAGCACATGCAAAACTTTTAAGTGATCAGGAAAAACTTTCTTGTGCCGAGGCAATACCTTCTCATTATCACAGGAAACTTTCTTGTGCTCACGAGTGATTTCTGTTCACCCCTGAAACGTAACTTTTTATTTTTTTCTGCCCGTTTCCACTTTCGGGACTCCTTACTGGAGCAGAAGGTTTTTCTGAATGCTTAAAAAAATGTACAGAGTTTGGTAGGTGTACGGACGTAAACATAATGAATTTATTTGACAAAAAAAGGGCATAAAGTCATTAGCACTGAACCATTATGTAAGGAGATAATGTCAAATTAAAAGACTTAAACCTGAATAATAAACTAAAAAGAATTTGACTTTTTAACTGTGCTATAAAAATGGCACATTTTGGTTGGTGACTGACCCTTTTCTTTTTTAGGTTCTGCTGGTAGAATTTGCAGGCAGAGTTTTTAATATTTCCTTAATCTCGGCTCTTAAAATCAGCACAATCAATCTGGAGCTTTTCAGGCCCCTAACAGCCTGTGGCCCCTGAGCAACTACTCACTACTGCTGATAATCAAATCCTGCTTTCACTTCTGCTTGCACTTCCTTCCTTCAGGTGAAGCTGCAAATCAGCCACAGACTTGCATAAGAAACATTTGTTATTCTCTTTTCTCTGCTTACCGGATCTTTTAGTAGAAAAAGGGGCCTTTAAGTGCACATGCTGCATGAAGCGCAGAGGGACGGGTAGTTTTTAGGGGACGTGTTAGACTGCACAGAGGTTTAAGGCCTCAGTGGTGATGGGCTGGAGGTGGTGAACGCTGTTTCACACCAGAGTCTGTTATCAATCGATGAGGTATATTTTAGTTGGGGTGGGATGAGTTATGGTGGAGATACAAGCGTCTTCAGAGCAGTGGAACACACATCTACTGTAAGTGCATATTATAGACTGCAGCTAGTGTGGTTACAGTCAGTGCCAAACATATACACAACACACTGTGTCAATGCTGTCCTGATAAAAATGCAGGATATTTGACATACTTTTGACCACTTCCAGGTTGTCTTCATATTCTTGGTGTCGATTGTTTAATCTCCACAAAAACGCCCATGAATCAAGTGATAAGCAGCAGAAACACAAAGCGAGAGGCCATGAGTTTTGGATCAACAGCAGGGTTATAATATCAGTTTGTTGTTTTCTCACGTGTCATGATGACAGGAAAGCAGTAGAGCAGGTCATAGGTGAGATAAACACACAGGAACCATCAGAAACACTGACAGAAAGAGAGTGAAAACTCTCACACACTGTTCAAGTACACAGCTACAACCATTAACAGCTCAACTAGCTAGTCCTCACTGAAGATGCTACACAGGATCTATACAATAGTGTCTCTTTTTTACAGCTTCCCTCCAGATTAACTGCTACAGAGCCGCTCACTGCCTCCAGACTCCTCGACGATGTCACATCTATTTACAGAGTTTTACAAAAGCAGGGATGAGAGATTAGAGCGGATGATATTTGAGTGATATTTACTGGAGTGGCAGCACAGCTGGGCAACTCTGGCTTCAACAGGAGCAGATGTGGAGAAGGTGGTTTAAAGTAGAAGGTAGATGTCTTGAGCTAGTTCTATCTAAACTCATGCCTTTGCTCAAATTTTTGTTTTAATCTGTGTTACTCTATTTTTTGATAAATTAACCTTTTTCTGTCCTTTTACTATCTCAAACTTCAGTTGATCAAAAGAGAAACACAAATGCTGATCCCAAATTATGCTCCGTGTCCTAGAGATACACTTTTGTCAGACTGTTTTATATTTGTAAGAGTCAAAGTTGCCCATGCGCACCCTCAACATTTTGCCAAAAGCTTTGCTGTTATGCAGGTTTTGTTTTTCAGGTGGGAAGTGAGTTGTTCAGCACTTGTTCCGTGTGGAAATGATTGTTGCTGTTGTTGCAGACAGAGGTGATGATTTCTTGTTATTTTTCTCCTGTTTGTACTGAACCAGCAGGATCCTCCTTAAAAGAGAGAGAAAAAGAAAAGATTGAAGACTGTTCAGATTAACCTTTATTGGTTTTTAAAATCTGCAACACCTTTATCCATCCATTAACTATATCGCTCCTTTTTTTGGTCGCTAGGGTGATGGAGCAGACCGCAGCTGTCATTGGGCGTAGATCAGACTGGCACATACAGAGACAGACATTCATACTAACAACTACAGGCAATTTAGAGTCATCACTTAACCGAAAGGGCATTTCTTTTGACTGTGGGAGGAACCCGGAGAGAACCCACGCATGCACAGGGAGAACATTCAAAACCCACACAGAAAGGCACCCGCCCAGCCGGGGATCAAAACCAGGAATCTAGTAACAGCGCTAACCACTGCACCACCATGCGTAAGTCTGATGACAAGATAAGTTAAAACAGTATTTTATGGGTTTGATTTAATGTACCATTGTGCAAGAGTTTGGACTTGATCTTAAATAATGAAAACAACTATCAACCTGTTGTTTAAAGCTCTGAACAATCAAATACAGCACATCTCCTACCGAGCAAGAATGTTGTTTCCACATCAGGACTCAAAGCTCATGGACACACTGAAGTCAAAAGTTGTCTCTACCTGTTACTGGATGTCCAGTTTGCTCAGGCCGACACTGTGGATGAGCTGTGAGGATTCAGAGGCAGCGCTGTACCCTTGAATAAGCAGGTTCTTGTTGAGGTCTCCCACCCCACTACCAGCCTGCATTTTGGGGTACGGGGGTGTTTCTGCAACGTGACGCTGCCCTCGCCCGTGGGAGTCCATGTCCATCAGGTGGTCCAGAGGGCAGCCGTCCGTCCCCTCTGTGACCGGTGAGAACTCGTGAGCGCTCGCCTGCTCCTCCCTGGACACAGGACTGATGGAGACAGATGGAGAACTTAAAGACACGATGATGACAGAGACAGAACATTTCGTTAATTTGTACTTTTCCAAACACATCTGCAGTATTCAGTCAACTGGATCTTTATTAGGTTTTGCTATGAAAAGATTTCTCCTGTATGTTAACGTGTGTAAAAAAAAATATTTTCTGTCATAATTTCTAAGATCTACTTTTAGGGGGCTTTTTATGCCTTTATTGGAAAGATAGGACAGTGGATAGAGTCGAAGAACGGACTGCTAATAATGCGATAACAATAAAAAAAGCTAATAATTGTGCAGCCTGTTCTGTAGATGAGCACTGAGAGGATAATGGTGTAATGCAAGGGTAAAAGATGAAAAAACAGGTGATCTGTATGTGTGGAGTCACTTCAGAACAGACAAACGGAAATGTGTAAAATATCTCTACTCTGCATTCATTTAAAACACTCACACTAAGATTCATGCAAGATTTTTTAAAAAGTCCTGTGAGAGTTGGCTGAAAACATCTGTAAGAGATAAAGACGTCTTACCTGACATCCATAGACTGGACTCCGTCTGACAGCTCGTCCACACAGATCTTGTTCTCCAGAGGTCCCAGCATGATGACGGGGGCTTCAGCGGGAGTCGGTGCATCTTCCTCCGAGCCGATCGCAGTCTCTGCCCTCATGTCAGCTGCAAACGGACAGTCTTGTTGATTTAAATGGATTTAGGAATCCTTACAGACAATTATAGTGCTGTAGGCCTAATTACATTTATAGGACAACTCACACTTTTCTTGATATTTGGGATAGCAGAGCTGATTTTCAGATAAGGATTTCTCTGATTATTTTGAGATAACAGAGCTTGTTCTCTCACGATATAGACACAATGTTTTGGTGATCTAGACTGCGACATGCCATGCTGCCATTGCCCACACTTATGACTTTATTTCTTTGTTGGTTTTGGGCTTTTGAAACTCTGGGAAAATGGAAAAATCAGTCAAGAGAAAACATCTGTATACTACCTGTTATCAGTGGAAGAAAGAGAAAAAAAAAGTGTAGATGCAGGTTTACTTAGGGCTGCCTTTAACTGACTAGTTAAAAAGTGCAACTTAATTCTTAAATCTATAAATAGAGATCAAATACATATTTCACTGTAAATGAGGCGACACACTCCTCAGACTTTGTCTTGTTGTTGATCTACACGTAAGTTTTTTAACTTAGTGTGTATTCCTTAATGTTAATGTTTCCTTTTGGTTCCCCTGTGCTGATCCATTTGTCCTAATATAACCCAGTGAGTTCAAAGAATGCTGCAGTGCACTGAGTGTTTGGCTTACTGCTACCTAACCACTAGGTGGCGCTGTTCTCGTGTCTGTCTGATACTGCTGAGTCACTCTGCAGCTGAGACACTTATCTGATTAGATTTGGAGGAAACTAATTGTACAGGAGGGGAAACTGTTTTCCACAGGGAAATTAAAAAAAACGTTTTGAAAAAAAGCAAATAAAAACAACAGAATATGTGATGTGGACAAATAACAGAAAGAGTCACTGTACACATGGAATGAAAAAGATCAAATGGAATTGCCATGACGCAGGAAAGCAGGAGTCATCAGGGGGATGAGTTTATGGTAAATAGATCAATTTAATCAAACGTCCTCATCACTGACATGCTTTACATGTGAGGTAGTCGAGCAGTGATCAGTAAACTTTTAACTCCCGGTGTTTGCTGTCTGTAACGGTCTCTTTGCTCCTCGTACAGCTCCGTTCTACAAACACCTTTTAAAGTTGATTTGAAAAAGTGTGTTTTTATGTTTTGTATGATTTATTTGTGCCGAAATCTGGCATTGTTTATTTAACGCCTTTGCTCTAAGCTTTAAAAGTGCTATACAAAATAAATTCATATTACTATGAATAAAACAATCAAGTTTCAGGATGTGTCTGACATTCACCTGCAGCACCAGATAGAGGCTCCACTTCACTCTTTCTTGTTCTCTTCATTATCTCTTCAATTCTCTGTGAAAACACACAAAACACAACTCAGTTGTAAAATAGTGTAGCTGTTGTTTTGAAGTATTTTTTTCAGACTGTCCTTTTCATCCAAGTATTGCTGTTTTAACATGGGTTCGATTTAATCTATGATCTATGATATGGTTCTCATGATACCAGGTTTTTAATCTTTATTAAAAATGTTATAATAATCAAACAATATCCTCAACAAAAAGAAGTCGTAGCTACCCACCACCTACTCATTTCTTGTTTTTAATGATTACATTGAAGGAAAACTCCTGCCTGATACTGTCTATTGCTCAAACTATGTCTTTGTGCAGTTTAGACAGTGCTCTCTCTCTTGAAAGCAGCTTATGATTAAAAATAAGACTGAACATCTGAATTCGTTTGAAGCTTTGTTACTTTTCAATACTATTGGTCATGAGAATAATAAAGATTGTGTCGTTTTGAAACACGCTATCAAATATTTTAACAACCTTTAATCTATGATGTGATCTCTGTTTTGATCACTGATACCTTCTTCCTCTGCTGCCTCTCCTGCTCCTCCTGGATGTGCAGCATCTCTCTCTCCTGCCTCTTCTTGTCTGCCTCTTTCTGGGCTCGCAGGAACGCCTCCTCTCTCTGAAATAACATACAGCAAACATCCAACCATTCACTTTCTCTTTCTGCTTTGTCTCTTGATGAGTATTACTGGGTTGTTTGACATATTAACTTAAAATACTTTAAGTGCAACATAAATTCCATTGATAAAATGTTGATGAAGCTTGACCTCTCTGTCCAGCTGATCCTGCATGTCCTTCCATCTCTGCTCCTTCTGTCGTCTCTCCTCGTCCTCCTTGTTCCTCTCTCCTCGTCACGTCTCACTCTGTCCTCCTCAGCCTGCAGGGCAGCTCTCTCCTGTCTCTCTCTCGCCTCCTGCAGCCTCCTCTGCTCCTCCTCCACCCTCAGTCTGGATGCACAGATATACTTTAAGCTGAACAAATGGCCATACAGGAATGTAGGAATGCATCTGTCTGTCATCCTAGTTTCTGAATGCAGTAATTGTTTTAAATGGATGATGATAATAGTGCTGTTGTTTTATTGCCATTCAGTGAACAGGGACTGGAAACTAGCTTATACTCATTTGTCCCTGCATCAACTGGAGACATTTAAATATATTCAGTTTCTCAACTTCAGAGCAGTAGTTAAAGATTATTTGGAGCTTTTTACTTAATTAATCAGTTATTAGAATATTTGACGACAGTTTAAATTTGAAACTTTTGTATCAGCTGCTAAGCACAAACACAAACACACCTCTCCTCTTCCTGCCGTTGCCTTTCCTCTTGCTCCTTCTGTATCCGAGCCAGACGTCTCTCTGCCAGCAGTCTAGACGCCTCCTCAGCGTCCGTTGTCCCACCAACACTCCTGCCTGTGGGCGTGCCCGGAACTCTGAGGGAGGGACATGAGAGGATGGAGTGAGGAGATGGTGCAGCATGACTTAACAAAAATAAACATGCCTTTGCAAATCCTTCAATTATGTTTCCAGCCCATGATGTAATTCTGACATTTTACATAAAAAAAAGATCTACCATTTTTAAAAGAGGAGATTTACATGACCAAAGCAGCTACATTTAACGGAAACAACAACTGATGAATAGAGAATTTTGTTTTTAGTTACAAGAGCATTTCAGTTCAA